GCAAGCGTTTCGGATCACTCCCGTAACACCCACCTTCTTCGTCTCCAGAAGACGAAACACCGCAGTGTATCGGGAGTGGTTCCCCATCTCCTTTCTCTGGTTCTTCGATATCCTGATACCCATTTACTAATCTCTGTTCCACCGTGAGATGGATTGATGACCGCAGCCCAGATACCTGGTTAGTGACAAGGCTTTGAAGCTCGCGCCGTCTAACCCTTGCTTTCAATCCCAGATCTTAGCCCCAACTTTATGGCGCAAGAAGGATGAACATCTTCAAATCGCAGTCCCATGACAGTGGTGATACACTCCGAGGTACATGAAAACCCCGGACTGAAGACGAAAGAAGAAAGTACCGCAGTGACGACAAACCGCAGTAGTGGAACTTGCGATAGACTAACCCGGATAATCTCCCACTTGCACTGGGATGGACTGCGAATTTCCTATTCTATCAGATAGTCGAACCCCAGGATGTGCAGAACGAGTCAAAGTTGGCCAGCGCAGCAGTGCCCCCTCCAAGGGAAAAGCCCACGGTACATGCATATCGTCAGTCAAGGGCAAAGATATCTGCACAATAATGCACCCCGTCCCAGGCGACTTGGGCGATTGAACAAGACTGGAGACCTGCACGAAATTTGCCCGCCCACCATTCAGCAGCCAGCTCCCATACTAGATTTTCACGAACGTCGGCAGGGCATCTTCCTCCTTGAGAACATTTTCCCTCTTTTTTTCGTATTATCGTCGCGGATCGCGGGTCAAAATATCCCACCCCCCTTACAGACTTCTCATGTCTCAGGATTGGTTGGCCCCATCTCGAACAACGAGCACAGTAACCATGATCACCAACATAGCGTTTCACCATACGGTGCTTACTCTTGGGGCCTTTTTTTCCGTCGACGCCCCAGGAATGCTCACGTTGCTCACATATCTCTGGTGTCGGATGTTGGACATATATCTTTGTCGAACCATCTCCATGTTGGTGAAATCTGAACTATCACTTCAAATCCTTGTTAAACGAACAGCGCCCTTCCCCCCTTTGGTTGAAGTGTGACCGTCGCACGTCATAAGCCCGGATTTAAAGACCCCTCTCTTCTTCTATATTTATAAATATACCTCTTTCTCGTTTATCTCGTCTTCCCCGGCTTGAAGTAAGCTGTGGTCTGGACGGATAGTGCATCGCCTCCTTAATCCCTCACAGCATCAGCTTAACAGTTACCAGACATAGCAGTGGTGTTGCTTATCTCCTTGGATCCCTGCTGTGGGGTTCTGAGCTCATTCTCACTCCCTGGGAATCTCTATCTATATAATACTCAAAGGTCCGTGACACGATCGTGTACTTCTTTACTTCCTCAACTAATAAGAAATAGTCAGATAATTAATTATCTTAATTACCCCGGCAGTTCGTCGACAATGGCTCGAGGTAGCAATGCAAATCGACGGAAGAGGCAGGGTGCTCGCTCTGTCGCTCCCCCTTCGAATGCGAGCACTACTACGCTTGTACAACAGCAACCCAGGCCTTATACAGTAAAAGATGACTCTGCGCCCGCACCATCTGAAAGTACTCCTAGCAGAACCACCCAGGAGCCAACTCCTAAGAAACAACCGACTCCGAAAGAAACTCCAGCATCCCCTATCCCCAGCCCTCCGCCTAATGTCTTTGAATATCTGGATGAAGACGACTCTTCCGAAAGCGAAAGCGACAGCGACAGCGATAGCTCTGCTGATGAAGAGCCACCCCAGAAACGCAGAGCGAACCCCCCATCACCGCTGCGCAACTTACCATTAGTGAAAACCACCGATGACCGCACGGAAGCAAAGTCGAGTCGTCAATCGAGCTTCAACTCTAATTCTGGAATATCCATGCGGGACCGTAGCCCGGGTCGGGCCTCGTCAGTTGCATCGAGAGACTCTACTGATGATCAGCCAGCTACCCCGCCCAATGCATCGCTGTCACCCCTTGAGTGGAAATTCGCCGAAGGAAATCGCCCTATGTTCTCGCCTCAGATAATTGGAGCTTACAACAGCTATGCGCCATCGATTCTGGAGGGAGACAACTCTGATAATGGGGATCCCTTTGACATCTCTGTCCCAGAGACATTCTACCTTCCGAGAGAGAAGGTAGCCAAAGCAGCTAGTCCTCCCATCTCCCCACGCGACAGGACTAGGAAAGATAGTATTCAAAGCAGAAGAAGCGAGCCGAACAGAGGCTCTCCCCGAACCTTTGAGCAGCGGCCTCGCAAGCTGTCACTGCAGCAGACTAGTGAAGATACCATAGTACCGCCAGTCTACAGAAAATTCGAGACTCTAAACCACAGAATCCTTCTCAACCTTCAAAACGAGATCGCTGAGATGGAAGAGGACTTGAAGAAGCTTGACGAGCTCGAGGCAATGCATCGGGCAGCTGCCACTCGAACCCCTACTCGCCGCAGATCGTCTGCATCAAGCCCCCAGATCGACGCTCCCTCATTCTCTACTCTGCACTTCCAGAAACAAGAGCTTCTTGAGCAAGTACAAACCAAAATCCAACAATATAGTAAGCAAAAAAGCATCTCCTTTCAAAGCCCCCAGAAAGAAAATCTGGAAACTTACTACGGAAAACGTATCACAAACTCGTAGACCGGGCGCTCTCTTCATATAGCAAAGTCGTACAAACTTTGCCTCATGCGTCTCACAATGATATCGAAACTTACCGTACCTGGGTTCAAGAACAATATCCCGCCTCGAAAGCTGGATCACGATATCTCAATCACGACTACGACCCCGACCTTGTGTCACTTTCAGTACGCCCGGCCCCAAGGTGGACGACAGCTCCCATCCACTCAACTATTACCGCCGTTTTTATCGCGATCCTATTGCCCCTATTGGCTTTTGGGACTATCTCGGAATTTTTCGGCCGCCTTGTCCTCGTTTCTATCGTCGGAGCCGCAGCCTCATTTTTCGCCAATACCGGACCGGCCGGAGTTGAGCACTTCATCGATCCCCAGGACGGGTGGAAGGTTGCTGCAGTGTTAGTAGAACCTTCACGCTCTTTGTATTCATCTTATGTCGACGTGACTAACCCCAAATGCAGATACTTTGGCTTTATGACCGTCTCGGCCATGATAATACCCTAGCATGGAGAGAATGCAGTATGACTTACGGCCGAACAACTCACGCTTCATACTTTTTACCCCGACTTTGATTCTCATGCATTTCTACACTCGCCCTTATTGCCTTCATCATTGCCTTCATCATGATTCTCTCTCTACGCTTATTCGATCATCTTCTCAGCCTTTCTTTTACTTTACTCTTTGCATCATCATTGTTCTGCATTGGGAGGATAGCATTACTAGGAGGCGTCCAGGGATCTTTTCATTTCGGGTGTTTAAAATCAAGCAATACAAAAAAAAAGAGAAGAAGGAAGGGATGTGACACCACGCACGATACCCACAAACATCACACATCCTCATCTTCTCCTCTCTTCCTCTATTTCTTTTCACTCCTTTCCTCAGCGTTCAATTTTTTTTTTCCAGCAAAAGGAACAAGGGCTGGTCAATTCATGGGATGGGAAACAGGGTCGCAAAAGGCAAAGCACCGCTGGACGGGAAACAAAAAATGGCGCAAGCCTCAACTCACTCTATTTGGCGGGGTTTAAGGGGAAATTAGCGAAGCATCTCTTTTGTATACCAAGTTTATTTTCGGCAGCGCGGGGGCGAGGAGGGCAGCGCGGGTTGGGGATCGATCATACACGAATGCGACGAGCGCCTTCGGGGGTTCTCTTTGTCAGGTATAGGTTAAATCAAGACAGATTGAGAACAAGATCTCATTCATTGCAACATTCTTCGATTCCCATTCTCCAGGCTTCGCATATTCTCTCATCACCATACCTTTTCCATCCTTTCCATTCCAGCTCCCTGACCATGAAAATCAATCAATTGAGTTCAAAACCCCCAGTCCCCTCATCCCTACCATATTTTTGGAACATAAATAACTCACGGACCCCAAGCGGGCCAAAACTCTCTCTCCACTGTCCAGATCTCCACACGTTTTTTTCGTGTGAAGATCGGAGCTTTTTAAAAATAGATCCCGGAACCCCGTATTGTACATACGAACCACCACCCCCCCCCTTGCTCTTTGACGAGGGGTGTACACTAAGCATGATACCAGTGGGGGGTGGTGTCAATTCAACGGCAAGGGGTCTTGGTCTTCTCGGGGAATGTGGTCAATTGAGGAAGATTGGAATTTGATTGTTTTGATTGATCTGCGTACCGTCGTTAGTTTTCAAGGCTGCGAGTGAGGAAAAGAATGGAGACATCGACTTGGTAGTCGTGGGATAGAGAGAGAGGGGGGAGAGAGAGAGAGAGAGATAGAATTGAGGAGAAAGGATGATCGTCATGAATAGAGAGAAAGCAAGACAATCAAGAAAGGGAAAAGGTATTATATTCATCAAGAAAGGAGTAGAATAAGGCATGAGAAGAAGAAAGAAAGAAAGAAAGAAAAAAAGGCCCCCCTTCCGTACTAAACCCATAGCCCCCCAGGACCAAATCCCTCCCAATCCCAACCCAATACACATACATCCCAGCCATGTGTGTATGTAACCCCAAAAAGCTCGTGCGAAGATTTAGCGCTCCGGGAGAGCCTCTCTGGATAGCCATAAGCTAGGGGAACCAGGCTATTAACACTGCGTTGGGTTCGGTCTTCCAGATGCTCGAGATCCAACCCATGTTGGATATATATTATCGCTGAGGGTGCCCGACATAGGAGAGCCCTCTCTACTAGATCGCACCATTACGGAGGACACTCTGAGGACTAGGGTTAAACTCCCACAAGGGCGCACGTATACACCCGGGTAGATCGCAAGGCCTTCTGGAGAGCCGGGCTTAAAAGCATTGTGAAGGGGGTCGCTAGTAAAAATAAATTGATGAGTTGAGTGAGGGCTATACTTCACTGGCTACAAGTTCGGCAATTCTTGTGTCGGTATTTGGCCTTTGAGGGTATTTTGAGATTCTCTGAACCAATAACCAGGTCCTATAGCTCAGTTGGTTAGAGCGTATGTTGCTTCTCCTCACCAATCATAGAAGACAGTTCACTAACATTAATATAGGTGGTGCTAATAACAAAGTTAACGCCAAGGTCGCGAGTTCGACCCTCGTTGGGACCATAATTCTTTTTTTGATTTTTTTTGACCTTATTATTATCTTCGACGTGTAGAATTTTTTGCACATTACAGCTATGCTTGCGAAGCTCGGTTTGCTCACATTCAGTAGGTATATACATGCACACCTATTCAATTCGTAAGTGTCTACTTGAAACATCTACACATCAGAAGTTATATACAGAAGCTAGGACACATTTCCCCATCAATCAACAAATCCCCGTCTCAATCTTCTCGACATTGAAACCCGTAACTTCCACAGCCACAGACTCACTACAGCTGATTCCGGGGTACTCTACACTCAACTCCAGCGTCTCACGAGGGAAGAGCGTAATGTAGTTATCCGACCAGAATATAGGAGCTATTTCTTTCCCCGAGTCTAGCGCGTTCAACCGTATGAAGAAGGCGGGTACGTCGGATGTGTTTTCGAGGGTTATGCGTGCCTTTTTGTTGTCCGTGTCTAACTCGACGGATAACTCGATGGAAGCTAGGTCGAGGTTGTTTAGGGATGTTAGGTCCGCGTAATCGGATACGGGAGTGTGGTACCAAGTCGAGCCATCCCAGTTGAGGACGTCTAGCTTTGGTGAGATCCAGTATACGTTTCGACTGAGGACAGTCTCGTCGTCTTCGAGTTCTAGTTTGAGGAATGCGAGATCCTGTGTCTTGTTACTGATACCGGTGACGTTATTAATGACCTTCCTTGAAGCATTGGGCTCTGTGTTGCTGCTATGTTTTTCCTGACCCAACGTGTCCCCGTTGATGTCGACTACGTCGATGGATACGGAGCGGTTCCCGCTGTTCACTAAGGAATGGTTGATGATGTAGACGGAGTTGTCCTTGTAATCGTATGCAACGTGCTCGACTCTCGTCCCTACTTTGGTTCCGAATGTAGCACCCATAGGTCTCAGGTAGTAGTCGAACAGACTCCAATGTAGATTTGGCCAGGCTCCATTTAACATCCAGTAGATACTTTGTTATGCGAGTTAGCACGTATATGGAAAATGGGAAGGGTGTACGTGACTTACAGTCCAGTTGCAGGACGCTCATCATTCTTGCGCGCCGCAAAGGCTTCAAACTGAGCACGCGTCGCCTCGTAGTCTGAAATCTGCACCTTGATCAAGTAGTCCTCCAAACTCGCAGGCTCGCCATATCGAGAAAACAGCGCGTCATTATAAATCTTTCGATTCGCAAAAGAACTGGGGTTCCTTGAAAGATGGTACTGGTCACTATCTGGCTTCGTCCATAGCTCTTCAATATCCTTCTCAGTGAGGAATTCCTTCAAACTCGCGAGCTCAGGGGAGCCAACGCCGGCTCCAAGTTCGGAACCAAATCCATATGCGGCACCGAGCTGGTTCTCGTACCAGTAATTTGGAGGGACCCAGTCATACGGTCCATCCATCTTCATTCCAGACGGTCCAATGAGTTCGGGGAATCCTCTCTTAGCTGCTGAGGAGACTATAGGAAGGTTCCAATCCATGCGATCCAGGGCGTTCACGTAGATCTCCGTCGCTCGATCATCGGGCCAGTAATCGGAACCTACCAGGAAACCGAGCATGCTGGGGTGGCTCTGCATCATGATGGCCTCGTGCAGCATTGAGGCGTTTGCAATGGCGTAGTCTTCGTCTTTGAATACCAAGCCAGTCCCGTCCTCGTTGTAGGTCCATCCCTCCCATTTATTGCAGCATTCCCAGCCCGCGAGAAGCATGATACCCATTCGGTCTGCTAGTTCGAAGAGCTCTGGATGTTCTTGTTTGCCTTCTAGACGGACGGTGTTCATGCCCATATCCAGAACATACTGGAATTGCGTTCGTAGCTTTTCTTCGTCGAAACGTAGGAATATATCCGAAGTATATCCAGCACCCATGACGAGGAATGGCTTTCCGTTGACAGAGAATTCAATGTCCTTATGGGAGTTTATGCGCGATGCAACATCACGAATGCCAAAGATGGTGGGCTCAGCTGTATCAGAGACTGCATCTCGAGTTGAAACGCGAGCGCTTGCTTTATACAGTGGTTGTTCTCCCCACCCAGCGGGCCACCAGACTTGGGGGTCTTTCACCGTCACTTGTACCGATAGCGTGCTTTCCTCGCCAGGCTGGAGGGCGAAATCCTTCGAGAGAGGTATTGTCTGAGACTCGTCTTCCGCCTCGATAGAACCCTCAATCGTACCCTTGACTGACTTGTCGACATTATTGCGCACGTCGATTTTGACGGTCACCTTGACCTCCTTCACGCCCGGGTCCGTGAAATCAGTCACGATGCGAGGAGGAGCCACTATCGAAATGTCGCCAGTCTGCGAGAACTCAACATTTCGCCAAACACCCGTGCCATTGTCTGGCGGGTAAGGATTCCAGTCAATGAAACCAATAGCGAGATCCCGAACGTAGCTCGTTGGATAAGCTTGAATGAGGAGACAATTCGCCCCTTGGACGACGTGTTCCGTAACCTCATATCTCTGGCCACCATAAGACCCCGCCTGGGTATCACTCGACACGACCAGGGCGCCATTCATATAAATATCAGCTCTCGACGTGATACCATGCGTCTGCAAGAAGAAATGGCTTCCCTCCCCCGTCGAATCCAACTCAAACTCTTCCCTATACAACCACGGCACATCATATTTCGCCTGATCGGAAATCGTCACATCAGCGAGGTTCTCCGAGAAAAATAGCTCCGTATCATCGTAGACACCGTTTTCTATCAAACCAGCCATAACAGTTGCCCGTGAGCCGATTCGGTACCATGATGAGACATCGGCGCCGCTGCGGGAGAGGGAGGTGAGATTTTGGGAAACATCTTCTGTTGATTGGATGTGCCAGCCTGGAATGACCTCTCGGCTACCAGGTGAAGAGACGAGAGGGGAGGAGGGGTCTGCAATTGTTGGGGTGGAAAGCAGAGCTGGTGCTACGAGCAGCCCGAGGAGGTTGAAGAAGCGTCTCATAGTTGTTGACGAAACAACCACCTTCCAAAGCTGATTGATTTCCAACGATCCTGCCGCGAAGCAAGCTGTGGCAGATCTCAAGCTATCGTGAGCATTGTTTTCAAGAAAATCGACCTCCGAGTTCATTATTTATCTATTAAACCCGCGGTAAACATTTTGACGTCGTATCACTAAAGCTCCATGCAGGGATTTATCGTGATGGCTTTTCTGAGGTCGCAATTATGACGCGGAGAACGGAGGATGTGCCTGTCAATTAATTACTCTTTCTTTATACTGCACTTCTTGGCTAATAATCTCGACCCGAATTGAGGAAATGAATATGCGGAGTAAAAGGTATGAGTTCGATTAAATACATACTCTACAAATTTCTTCAACTTCGTTGCCGTCTATGTAAGTGCTCAGATAACCCTCCTTTCAAATTACATCGGTGATATCTCTCTCAGTTTACTACTATTGCTTTTGTGAGAATCTTACACTCGGTTGAGATGATAATTTCCCATTGCTAATATAACCCTCAAAAGAATCTTAGCAGTCTTCTTCATAGAAGTCTCTTTTGTATAGTCTCTCGTAGAGAGTCTGAGAAAGAACGATCGTATCTTTGATGAGCATCATTCACTCTCTCACTCACATCAACGATTCATTTTCGAGATTATACCTTCACGTCAAGAAGACAGCTTCTTATGTTGAAAATTATAGATAAGAATCTATAAGCATTTGTCTAATGTCACGCTAGTACACATCTATTATTCTTTCAATAATAGAAGAGAAATATGGGAGAGAAAGTAGAAATACTAGAATTCCTCGGGCCTAGACGACCTCGAGATCACCCCAGGCTCCCCTAAAGCCAGGATCTTGACCCTCTTCCGTATCCCTTCGGGCTGACGTACCTCCTCGTGCTCTCGAACCCCAACCACCGCGCTCACAGAGGCACTATCCAACCCCTTGCCCTGGCTACTGAGCTGCGCGCCGATCCGCGCCAGCGTGAGAGCATCGAGGGACTCTACCCACGAAGGCGCAGAATAGATAAACAGAACCAACACGAGCAACGTTACGACCTGTAGGCCAATAAGGAGCGAGATGACAACTAAGCCCGGGATGGATATTTGTGGCTTCAAAATCGTGTAGCCCGGCGAAGTGTATATTGCCCGCAGTTTCGTTGCCCCAAATGCATCGACTGTACTTAGCAGCAGGGCTTCGTTGGCAAAGAATGCCGTTATCTCTAGGAACTGTCTCGCGTTGATGGGGTTACTCAGGAGCTGCATGAAGAGCCCGACGATTTCGGAGAGTAGCAGGGGTACATAATCTTCGCCAACTGAGTGCAAGTTGGAGCATCGAGACATCAGCTCTTGATACGGGAACGCCTCGCGCGGCATGTAGCGCATAAAAGGCACTCTTGAGTGTTCGCATATGTCAGCCGCAGCTTGCCTTTGCTGGTCCATGGGAGCGTCTATAGCTGTCTGCATAAGAGTTCCGTTGCCGAAGAGGGCCAGGGCAGCTGTCATGAGAGGACCAGGGGTTTTAAGATCCTCGGTCCAGAAAGGGTCCATTGTTCTGCCGGTATCGAATGGGTCAAGCGTCGCCGGTGGCTCTCTACATAGATGTGTGTCAGCATAGTATCTATATCTCTCCTATTTGCCAGCCGCCCGGCCAGTCCATGGTCTCAACTTACTCCTTCACGGGCCAATATATGTTCTCCAAACGGCTGCTTATGTCGTTGAACTCGTTCTTCATAACTTCCAAGCTCGGCCAGGTCTCGACCATCGGCTGATGAGAATAGTTATTCTGGTAGTTACCTAGCTCGAACCATCCTCTCCTCGATTCAGCGGTGCAACACATTGTAAAGTTTTTAGCATCCCGTAGGTCCATTGCATACACATCAAGAGCGTCGGGATTGACATTCATGTGCATCCATAGCTGTTCTGTGATGTTTTGCTGATCCCGCGTGTTGTTCCAGGGAACCCGATCGTAGCTGCCCTCCACACAGATGGATGCATCCAAGACGGGGGTCGTGAAATTGGTCGTGAACGGTTTGTCTCCGGTACAGTGGTCAGGGAAGTTGTCCACC